ATGAGGCAGGTTCCCAATCGCATGGCATCCATGGGACAGCACTCATTGGCGGTCTGCCAATGCCCTACCCCAATCTTGCCCCAGATGTGGACTTGACCCCTGTTGTGCCCTCAACAGTTAATATGAACCCAGCTCCAAACCCTGCTGTCTTTAATCCTGAAGCTGTGAATGAACCCAAGAAGAAGAAATATGCAAAGGAGGCATGGCCGGGCAAGAAGCCAACCCCTTCCCTACTGATCTGAGTTGGGTTTTATTGAGGGAGGGTGGGAGCTACGAACTCCAGAAACTGTTTATGTGCAGTATCGTCTTTTTAAAATTTCAGTGTCCTAACCAGATGTAATACCAAGATTGGAGAAGTGAAATATCCTTTAAAGATCTGTCTTCAAGCGTTTTTATATGTCTGTTTAAAAGAAAAAATACAGCTCCCATCTCCTTATATATCTGGCAGCCTTTTTTTAGCCATTACTGTCCCCAGAGGTCTTTACTCTGAATTTTGATCCATAAGTTGAAGGGGCAGAGTCACTTCAGTTTAATTATGGCATGACCCTGCAAATTCGTGCATTTAGGTGTCGTGCTTACTAGGAGTAATGTTGTTCCTGCTGGACTTGCTCATAGCATGTCAGCTGTATCAGAAGTAAATGTTTGTGGGGTCCAGCATTTCAGAAATCCCATCGGTATGAGTTCTAAAACTTGCAAAATACAGGTCAGCTTTTATTCTTCGTATTTTCAAAGCCCCACCAATGTGGGGCATTAGCTTTTTGTTTTGTTTTATTTGGCTACAGCCTGTTTTAACTTCCACCTAAAACACTACAGCATGCCATTAGATTGTGAGAATGCGGAGTTGAGATGGACAAGAAACAGGTGGGCTTCCTTAGCTGTGGTCTGGTATTGTACAATGGAGAGCTGTGTGGATGGATAAAGGCGTACATGTGGATGGACCTGAGCTTGTGTTGGTGCTAATGGCAGCTAGCAAACCTGGCAAGCCTAGGAGCGTTTGACTGGTGGGTAGGCACTATCCACGCTCTACAAACAATGAACAACAAAGTAGGGTTGTCTCTTTCCCCTGTGATAACTTAAGGTGGGGTTAAGACAGAGGAGAACAATTTCTTTTAAACATGGTGGCCCTTTTAACTTAAATAGTTTCATTTTTATCTGCAAATAGAACTTGTGAGTATATGTGAGATGTAATAATACACGCATAAAAATGAGCTGCCATCAGCAGTGTCACAGGATTTGCGTGTTTAACAACTAAAACCACAATCTGCACGCTGTTCTGGCTGCTAGTAACAGTGGGTGAGAATTGAGTGCTACTTAAAGCTAGAGTATGAATTCTCAGTAGAGAATCTGCCTCACCTTGAATAAAGCAGTGCATAAGCTGGTTTCATAATATTACATTTTTGTCTACTTCATCATTCTCTCCCATTGAATAAAATGAGAAGCTCAATTTGGATTGTTGCTCTAGCCCTTCAAATACTTGGCTTTAGATTTCAAAATCTGACTGATTCACATGTATTCGGACACTGTCTTTACTTTATACAAGGTAAGGCCAGAGCCCTGTTTTTCTTAAATTTACTCTGGATTTTTTTACATTCTATAATGCAGTTCAACTACGCAGTCACATTCCTTTGTTGTTTGGGGGAATTTCTCCGGGAAATGTGCACCAAAATGACAGTAGTATACCTAGCTGTTCGTTGTGTACAGTACTGTAGCTACCTGGCTGAATAGTGTTGTGAAAATCTGATGGTTGCTGGAACAGTGCTGTGTTATAGTGCATCTGGTACGCTGTATGCACTAGACCTGTTTTGGACAGATGCTCCAAAATCAGTGTGACTTCTGCATCTGCAGAGTGATTGCTTCTATCATGTTATTGAGATAAAAATGAGCTAGTAGCTACCCCATTTACAAGAGCGATGGCTTTAGAGATTGGTTTGTTCCCCTCCCTGCACCATCATATCTAGCTCAGGCTATTATATGGATGAATACAGTACCTTCTACATGATATAGTTGTGCCGCTCTCCATTTAGTTGTCATATTATTGAATATGATTCAGTCCTCAGACATTCTGCTTCCAAACACTCCATGCTGACTCTTAAAATCTTTCTCCCTTTATTTTTAGTTTTGCTTCTCCCTAGTATGTCGAATTTTCTTTTTCCAGCCAGTCTGCTTTATGAAGGCAAACTCTTACTAGTTAGGGCAAGTAAAAGTTGAACACGTTTTCTTCTTCCTTTTTTTTTTTTTCCATTTTGGGGTGGGTTTTTTTTGGGGGTGGGTGATTATTTTTTTTTTTTTTTTTTCGCAAGTGGCTCTTTGCATGATTTTTCTGGGAAAGGGAAGCTTTACTGCTCATTGGTTTTTAAAGCTCTTCTCCATAGGTTTGAACAAGCTCTCATTATTTTAGAGCTTAGGGGCCATAGCTGGCCAGTACAGGAGGGGACAGTATAACATCTAGAGGCTTTGTACAGAAGTTTGTACACTTGTGTAATATGTAATAGGCCTTTTCACACTTTCTGTTGAGCTTTTTACCTGTAACCTTTACTATGTTGTAAATTAAATGCAGATTTTGCCAGTTTGGAGAGTGTAGTGTGTTCGTTCCCAATCTACACTTCTGCAATTGGGACTGTATGTTGGTTTGTGGCTTATTGAAGGATTTCTGCCACTGCAGCTATCACTGCAGGTCTTGTTCTTAGCAGCTGGCTCAGGCTGCTGCTCATAAAGCTGCTCCAGCTTCTTTTGCTCATAACCTGCTTTGCTGCCTTGTGCTGCAGTGCACTGTGATTTAGTGCAGAAGAGTAACACTTAACAATGGCTTTTAAACAGCAATCACCTTTGTTTTCTGAGTGAAGTTTTATCTGGTTCTGGCATCATTGTCTCTCTGCAAAAGTTATACTTTAGAGCCCCACTTTGCTTTTCTCCTTGCCCAGCTTGCTCCCTGTGAGCTATAGAGTGGCCTTGGGCATCTGCACCGTCCTGTGTCACACTGTGTCTCTGCAGCTTGTCCTAGGCTCACTGGGGAGAGCTGTAGTGAAAAACAGCAAAATGGGACCTGGTTAAAGATAACCATGGTGTCTGCAGCGTAGGGCTGAAAGGGATTCCCAGGCTTTGCTGAATTTAGTTATATTTAGGCTGTAGCTTAGTATTTCTTCTCAATCCAGCGATATCCTTTAAGCAGCTGGGGCAGTTACATTTTCATTATTGTGTGTCAGCAGAAGGCTGAATCTTCACAATTCATGTGTAAGTTGCTGGTCTGCCATAGGTGGAAATATTTGGTATGGGTTAAGCAGTTAACTTTGTGGTCTGACATTGTAAGTGTTGGTGTGGTTAGCGGTTAATTTCCTGTATTAAAGGAAATAGTAAAAACAAGTCAACTTGCTTGATAATCTAAAACGCTGTCTGGAATATGGAATGCAGAGATGGGAACAAAGAAGTGGAGAAGAGTTTGCAGCTGAATAAATGATTGAGCTAAAGAAATAATAGTGTTTTCCAGGAACATCCATCCGTGCAGTGCTCACTGGATTGTCATTGTAATGCCTCTTCTCTCTTTTGGTTTTGAAATACAAGAGTGCAGCACCCAGCAGGCATACCAAGAGCTAGTACTGAGCTGACAGAAGTTGTTCTGTTCCCAGTGTGCTGTGCAATAAGATACCAATGTGTTAGACTCTGTGACAACATGCCTGAAAGAATGACTTCTTGGAGAGGAGGTGACTTTTCCCTGGGCTCTTTTAGGAGAGCAGGAATAGCTTCCAGCTCAGACCAGGTGAGTGTGCCAGCTGAAGTGTGTGCTCGTGCAATTACACCAAGTGCTTTGAAACACTCAATGGCATGGGGGAAGACCACAGGAGAGGGTTGGACTGGAAGACATAGATGGCTTTAGGACAAGCCAAAGAACTGCACTGTGTAATAGCTATTATGGGCTCAGAGATCAGATGCTGTTTAAGAGCATTTTTTCAAAAGCAGTCTAATACAGTCAGGTAATTTGTAGGTTCTTTCATCTCAAATCTTTTAATCTAGCAGTGGTAGGTAAAGGAGGGGGGGGAGTTTGTGCTTTCACTTCTGCTCAGCACCAGAAACATCTCATTCATACCAGCTTTGCGGCATAACTGGGACCTACCTGCTTGGTGTAGGGGACAGGATTGCTAGTGCAAGACAGAGAGCATGAAGTAAGGTTGCGGCAAGTTCAGGGTAGACAGACACGTGGTTTAGGTTGCAGTCTTCTAAATTAGCCTTCCCTGAAGGTCCTGTAACCAGTAAAGCAGTAAGAGGGACCTCACACACCGGCATCACATTAGTGCCTGAGATTAACTGTGATGCTTTCCCGGCCTACAGAAAAGCAGTAGCTTCCCAGCAGCATTGATGTTTGCTTCAGTGTTGTCTTTTGCTTCTTAGGAATTTCCCAGAATGGAATGCTGTTTAAGCATTCTCCTCTTCAGAGAAGCTCTAAAGGAGAAGCAGCTAAAGAGCCTGAATCTTTGCTGTCCATCCTCTTGTATACAGGTGCCTGTCTTCTCATATGTTCTGGCATACATCTGTGAAAGGTTTCAATCGCATTTGCAGAATGGTAGAGGAGGAGGAAGTCTTAAATACTAGATGTGCTCTGGTCACTCTGACACATCTTGCCATGGCCCAGGTTGTTTACTGTCATCTTGCAAAGACAGCCAGATGCGGACCTGCTTGCGTATGTGCTGGTCTTTGAGGAACTGGCCAGTAATACCAGACTAACCTAGCAATTCCAGTCATGGCTGGTCACAGAAGCTTTTCTTATATCTTGACTGTGATGGGTCATTTACAGCCTGAGGTTCCCCACCTACTTCTAGATATGTCAGTGGCCTTCCTGTGCTTGATCCTGGAGGAAATGGAATCGTAGAATCATAGGATGGTTTAGGTTGGATGGGACCTTAAAGATCATCTAGTTCCAACCCCCCTGCCATGGACAGGGACACTTTCCACTAGACCAGCAGCATTTCTCCTGGTCGGCAAGCAATGGTGTGTCTATGGCCATATCACCCCAGGGCAAGTCCTGTCTCAAAGTAGGTGCAACCAGTTTTCTTCAGTGTCTTTGTAAAAATACTGGTTTTGTAACTTGAAGAGCTAGCAGGAGCTTGTTCTCCATTAACCTCTCCCATATAGGCATACCAGAGTGCTCAGTTACTTCGATAACAATTTCAGGGTCCGGTGAAGATGAGGAAGAGCCTGGAAATGGGCTGTTTAGGCAGTGGTTCCACTGCTTGCTTCAACTTGGATACCTCAAGTAGCCCTGATAATTTTTGCTTGTTGACAGGTCGGAGAAGGTTTGTGCTCTACTGCAGGAAGCATTACAAACCTTCGAGGTGAGGATGGTTCAGGCTGAGAGACCAGTTTTGCTTGGATCCTAGAAGCTGATGTGATCCCCTGACCGTATGTCTTCTGTGCTTGTCTGGGGCCCTGCTTGTGGGTTCACAGTTCCTGCTTCTGTTTGAGAGGCTCTGACATCCTGCATGTTGTAACTTCAGGCCCACAGCTGCAGCCAAACAACAGCAAAGTTTAGGACTTTGACAAGCTGTGAGGATGACTTGGGGACTGCCTAAAATCTGTGGAAACTCCAGCTGTCTGTCTGATGTCCTGCAAGGCAATTTCTTGATGCAAATTTTATGTTTCCCCAGTTGAATTTGGAAACCAGAAGAGCAGGTAGACGACTTTGCTCCCTGTAGCTGTTCATGATTGGTGTGATTTT